AGTTCACACACCACTAACCCCAGCAGAGACCCCAACCACAGAAAGACAGTTAACCTATCAAAACCCCAGGCCTCCCCAATCACCAATAGGTGATCGGACACTGACTTCTTCCCCAGCCACCTTCCTTAGCATTTTATTGCAACCCATAGTACCCTGCGAGAAAGTGTATAAAAGCTTCCCTGACCATTGTTTCGGGGCCACTCTCTTCTGTGACCACTTTAATGGTGGGAGTGACCTGAGCATATGCCTGAAAAGAATAAAACGCCTTGGTTTTTCCATGTGTGCATGGTCTCTCAGTGGCATATTGGGTCCTAACATGCTCTGCTGTATGATATATAGGGTAGTGACAATATCTTATTCACTTATGATTTTTTAGGGCCTAGCACAGTTACCTGTGGCATGAACAGGATTTTAATAGGTTTTACTGAATTATTATTGAATGAACTTTTATTACGATCCTTAACCTTGTCGTTTATACCATGGCTTTACATAATCATGCTTAAGGTTTTTCCTAATTCTCTTTATAACAGTATAATCTTTTTCCCATTATTAAATAACCAACTTCTAAGGGAAGACTTGAAAAGGAGGAGTCAGATAAAAAATTTGAGTGCCTTCCATGTACAAAGAACTAGTTGTCTGTAGGGCGGTAGTTACCAAACCTGGTTATGCATCAGAATTAGTTGAGGAGTTACACAACTAGGAGCTATTTCCTCCTATCTATTTAAATTAAATCTTCTAAACAGGGGATAATCCACATTTTTACTAAGCTCCTGGTTTATCCTTAAGTACCCAGCCAAGCATTTAAGAACTGCTTCAGGGGAATGATAGAAGCAGAAGACTCACCTTGGTCAGAAGCAGCTTAAAATTTAGATGAAAAGACACACGCACAGGATGAACAGTAATTCATGACAAGAGAGTAAGGAAGAAGTATATGATTAATTGCCAAGAGAATGGTCCAGACAGTGAAGACTGTTGAAGTCAAGTGGAAAGAGAGATTACTTTTAGTCAAGTAGGATTGATAGAGATGCTGCATCTTGTGGGTTTAGAGAGATTTGGACTGGCAGAAAGGTGGGAGAAATGTACCAATTGCTAAGTAACTAAATCTTAGTGATGGAAAAATAAGTAAGGCACAAACAGTCCAGGCTTTCACAGAGCTCATAGTATATTTGATGTAGTAGACAGTTAAGCAGATATTTATCAAATGTATGGTAAGTGCAGTAAGAAATATTCTGGATAGAAAGACTTTGAGCAAGAGCTAGTATCTAGAAAATGAGAAAGGCCGGGTGCAGTGGCTCACACTTGTAATCCTAGCACTCTGAGAGGCCAAGGTGGGTGGATTGCTTGAGCTCAGGAGTTCAAGACCAGCCTAAGCAAGAATGAGACCCCCATTTTGAAAAATAGCTGTGCATTTTGGCATAGTCCCAGCTACTCAGGAGGCTGAGGCAAGAGGATCCCTCAAACCCAAGAGTTTGAGGTTGCTGTGAGCTGTGACACCATAGCACTCTACCAAGGGCAACAAGTGAGACTCTGTCTCAAAAAAAAAGGTAGAGAAAAGTAAATGAGAAAGTATCTTAGGGGATGAATATAGACCAATTCAGCTTGAGCCACAGGTTTACGCAGGAGAATTTTAAGATGTTATTGGCTTCTAAACTCAAAGGAAGAAATTAGAAGGCTTGGGAGCTTGATGGGAATATCTTATGGACCAGGAAGCCTTTCTTGTACTTTGAAAATTGTAGTTTTTGGCCAGGGCTGGGTTTGAACCTACCACCTCCGGCATGTGGAGCTGTCACCCTACTCCTTTGAGCCACAGGCACCACCCTGTACTTTGAAAATAATATTAGACAGCTACTACTTTGATTATTCCTAAGTGAACCTCGAGGGTGAGGGTGTTTCTGTCATTCAAAGTAAAGGAAGCTAAAGAAGGAAAAGAAAAGAAAAACAAGCATGATAGCTTGGGGCCAAATTGTAGAGTTGAAAACTAAACTGTTCACTGATGTTTAATAATATGGACAGACCACCTAACCTCTCCAGGGAACAATTTCCTCATCTTTATACAGGTGTAGGACTAAGTTTCTATGTTTGACATAGTGTTTAATAGCCAGACTGCATGGGCTTAAATTCCGGCTCTTATATTTCCCAGCTTTATGATTTAGAAGTTACTTAACTTCACTGTGCCGCAGATTCCTTACCTGTAAAATGGGGAACCCCACTGAGTATTATAGATTAGAGTAAATACTCTATGTAGAAAGCTTTTAGAAAATAGTTAGGAGCATAAAAGTGTTAAGTGTATCCTATCCAGTTCTAATGTCTTCCAAGTCTTAAGGTTTTAACTCATCACCAGATCTCCACTCTGAATTCTAGAATGTAGGAATTACTTAAGAGCACTCATAAAGAACCATAATTAAAATCTAGGACTCAGTTTTTGGGTCCACCATCACTATAGCTGTGTCTGAATATGAACTATAATTAGATAATGCATTTCCCAGTGGACACATTGTACAAGAGTTTCCTTTTGAAAGATGGCTTTAGAGGCTTATTTAAGAATATAGACCAGGTACAGTGGCACACACCTGTAGTCCCAGCTACTTGGGCAGCTGAGTCCAGCCAGGGCAACATAGCAAGACCCCCATCTCTTAACAACAACAATAATTTTAAAAATTCAACCATGAAATCTATTCACTGTCTCTCTGAGATGCTAATATTCATTTATAAATGTTGACTGGACTCATGCCATTCTAGTTAACTTTATTATTTTTCTTTGGTTTTGGATACTTAAAGAGCCAGAATTTAAGTTAGGGTCTAGCTGCTATTTTGGCGTGTACTTGCTATACAGCACACTGTGAGGTAGAGTGTAATGAAAGGTGTAAATGATGGTATCCAGCAGAGAAGTTCAGGCCAGGTTTATTTGAAAGGGAAATGTGACCCACTGGGCAGTCAGAAGTGACAGCTGCACCCTGGGGGCAGTTAGAGACCACTTTTATATGGTGCAGTGGGGGTGGGCAAATTCCACAGCTTACCTGGAAAGTTAGGGTCTTTGGTACTGGACTTCTGGGAGGTGGGGCTAGCCAGATCCTTTATGTCTTTGTCTTAGAAGGAGAGTGGGAGGGGGAACGGGTGTGTGTGTGGCTGCTGTTAGGCCCCCCAACAAGTAATATAGTTGTAAATAGCATACATGTGCTTGAGGATCAGAGGAGTGAATGCCATAGACCAGCTTTTCCTAGGTCATAAAGGTTGCTTACCTGTAAGTTCCTTTGAAACCCAAGGACAGCTAGACTTCAGCATAAGAAAAGTCAGTTAAAATTAGACATTTTTAAACCAGATTTTTTCTCTTTGGAGTAGAATCCTTAATAAATAAAACAGATTTTTTTTTTTTTAAAGCAACACTACTCTGCTTGGAGAGTTTAAGTAAGTGGCCTAGAGCTTACTTCCTAGTACTTATCAGCCTAGTAAGCCTAGTACTTACCAGCTTTCTTCTTACTTCTTCCCACTCTTCCCATGGCCTCTGAGGCACTTTCAAGGACTCTAGGACCCTAAACTTACAGTTCAGCAATCAGTGGTATAATATTATACCCATAGTATATTATTAATTTTCCTTTAAAAATTGTGAATTATACCTGGGTATGGTGGCTCACAGCTGTAATCCTAGCACTTTGGGAGACTGAGGCAAGAGGATCACTTGAGATCAAGAGTTCCAGACTAGCCTGAGCAAAATTAAGACTCCCATCTCTGCAAAAAAATAGAAAAGTTAGCCGGACATGATGGCTTGTACCTGTAGTCCCAGCTACTCAGAAAGCTGAGACAGAAGGATTGCTCGAGCCCCAAAGCTTGGGGCTACAATGAAGTATGATGATGTCACTGCACTCTAGCCTGAGAGAGCGAAACCCTGTCTCAAAAAAAAAAGAAAAAGAAAGAAAAGAAATTGGGAATTACATTTAAAAACTATTTTTGTTTAAGGTTCTGGGTCCAGTACAGTAATTTATTGCTATCTTTCTCCCTTAGGACACACTCTTGCTCTTAACTCTCTTTCTAAAGGCAAACCTTAGCAATTTTTGTATACTTTTGTGGATATAAGATTGATCTGGTGGCAAGAATGCCTAAAAGCTCTCAGCTTACAGAAAAGAAAAAACTTTTTATCATGAACTAGAACTTATTTAAAGCCTCTGTCTTGAGCTTAGACTGTTTCTTTTTATTCATTAGATTTGTCTGCCTCTGCTCATTCCAAGGTGGTGATTTTCACAGTCAACTCTTTGGGTAGTTCTCAGTCCTACCTAGATGTCGTACAGAGCAATGTGGATATGTTCAGAGCCCTTGTCCCAGTTCTGGGACATTATAGTCAACAGAGTGTCCTGCTCGTTGCATCTCAACCAGGTAAAAGGCTTTTATTTTTTCTAAGTCTTTATTTTAAATTAATGTGATGGCTCGGCGCCTATAGCTCAACCGGCTAAGGCGCCAGCCACGTACACCTAAGGTGGCAGGTTCGAATCCCCAGCCCGGACCCGCCAAACAACAATGACGGCTGCAACCAAAAAATAGCCGGGCGTTGTGGCGGGCGCCTGTGGTCCCAGCTACTTGGGAGGCGGAGGCAAGAGACTCGCTTGACCCCAGGAGTTGGAGGTTGCTGTGAGCTGTAATGCCACGGCACTCTGCCCAGGGGGACAGCTTGAGGCTCTGTCTCAAAAAAAAAAAAAATTAATGTGATGATCTGGTGCATCAGTAGAATTGCTATTATTACCGAAAGCCATAAATCTTTAGATTATAAAGGGATGGCTAGAATAGTCAGTAAAATTGCCCTTATAATGAACAATCTTTCCACATCTTGTCAATCAGTTACTTATGACTGGCATTAACTAGAAGGTTACAATAAAGTTTTTTATGAAATGTGATACTATGTTACAGGTTGTTAGCCATATTTCCTTAGTGAGAAAATACTTAAACCCCTAAGAGAAAAGTGTGGTGACCTATATGAAAGATACTTTGTTGACTCTGATGTATCACTAAATGTTAGCATGTCAGAGTACATTTTTAGCATTTTGTAATTTGAACATTTTTTTGGACTGTTTTACTTTCAAAAGCAATAGTTTCAAAGAAGTTAGTTGGCGCTGAACTCAAATTGGTGATCAAATTTTTTAATTGGTCTCTTATATTCATCTTAAGCTAAATTTCTACCTGTAAATTAAAATACTGGTTCATATACCACTGCTACAAAGTATAGCATTATGAATGAAAACACAGTTACTATTTTTTTTTTTTTTTTGAGATAGAGTCTCATTATGTTGCCCTTGGTAGAGTGCCATGGTGTCACAGCTCACAACAACCTCCAACTCCTGGGCTTAATCGATTCGCTTGCCTCAGCCTCCCAAGTAGGTAGGACTACAGGCGCCTGCCACAATGCCTGGCTATTTGTTGTCGTCGTCGTTGCAGTTGTCATTGTGGTTTAGCAGGCCTGGGCTGGGTTCGAACCTGCCTGCTTCAGTGTATGTGACTGGTGCCCTAAGTCAGACTGGTGCCCTAAGTCAGACTGGTGCTAAGTTACAGGCACTGAGCCCTACTTTTTTCTTATATGCCAAAAGAATGTCAGGAATTAAAGAGACCCATGTTCCTTAATTAACTGCTACAGGAAAAACAAGTATTTTAATTTACAGGTAGAAATTTAGCTTTAGGCTCGGCGCCTGTGGCTCAAGCGGCTAAGGTGCCAGCCACATACACCTAAGGTGGCGGGTTTGCATCCCCAGCCCGGGCCCACCAAACAACAGTGATGGCTGCAACCAAAAAATGGCCAGGCATTGTGGCGGGCGCCTGTAGTCCCAGCTACTTGGGAGGC